GGGCTCTATGGGGTGTCTGTGGGCACCCTGGGGGCTCTGTGGGGTCTCTATGGGGCGCCCTGGGGTCGCTATGGGGTCTCTATGGGGTGCTGTGGGGTCTCTCTGGGGCACCCTGGGGTCCCTGCGGGTCCCCTGGCCGTGATGTCCCCAAGCCACACCCACGGGTGCCCCTGGGGAGTCGCAGCCCCCCGCCGGCCCTGGGGACCCCCACGGCTGGAGCTGGGGCTGGCACCGTCCCCAGGGCAGGGGTGTCACCATCCCCAGGGTGTCCCCAGGGGTGTCACCGACCCCCAGCTGTCCCCAGACTGGGGCTGTCACCATCCCCAAAGAGCTGTCATGGTCCCCAGGGGGGAGTCACCATGCCCAGGGGTGTCCCAAAGGGATGTCACTGTCCCCTGGGGGGGTGACACCCCACCCGGGTTGTCCCCAGCGGGTGTCACCATCCCCACGGGTGTCACCATCCCGAGTGGGTGTCACCATGCCCAGGGGTGTCCCAAAGGGATGTCACTGTCCCCTGGGGGGGGGTGACACCCCACCCGGGTTGTCCCCAGCGGGTGTCACCATCCCCATGGGTGTCACCATCCCGAGTGGGTGTCACCATCCCGAGTGGGTGTCACCATGCCCAGGGGTGTCCCAAAGGGATTGTCACCGTCCCCAGCAGGTGTCACCATCCCCACGGGTGTCACCATCCCGAGTGGGTGTCACCATGCCCAGGGGTGTCCCAAAGGGATTGTCACCGTCCCCAGCAGGTGTCACCATCCCCATGGGTGTCACCATCCCCACGGGTGTCACCATCCCGAGTGGGTGTCACCATGCCCAGGGGTGTCCCAAAGGGCTGTCATCGTCCCCAGGGGAGTGTCACCATTCCCAGGGGTGTCCCAAAGGGATTGTCACCGTCCCCAGCAGGTGTCATCATCCCCACGGGTGTCACCATCCCCAGGGTGTCCCCAGGGGTGTCACCGACCCCCAGCTGTCCCCAGACTGGGGATGTCACCATCCCCAAAGAGATGTCATGGTCCCCAGGGGGGAGTCACCATGCCCAGGGGTGTCCCAAAGGGATTGTCACCGTCCCCAGCAGGTGTCATCATCCCCACGGGTGTCACCATCCCGAGTGGGTGTCACCATGCCCAGGGGTGTCCCAAAGGGCTGACATCGTCCCCAGGGGAGTGTCACCATTCCCAGGGGTGTCCCAAAGGGCTGTCACTGTCCCCTGGGGGGGTGACACCCCACCCGGGTTGTCCCCAGCAGGTGTCACCATCCCCAGTGTGTGTCACCATTCCCAGGGGTGTCCCAAAGGGCTGTCACTGTCCCCTGGGGGGGTGTCACCATTCCCAGGGGTGTCCCAAAGGGATTGTCACCGTCCCCAGCAGGTGTCACACCCCAAGGGTGTCCCCATCACCTCCCCCGCGGGCGCGGCGGCCGGACCCACATTAAAGGACTTTGGGGACATCCCGGCCTCCTCCTTGGGGGGGGAGGGGCAGCGCCAGGGACCCCATGACATCACCCGCCAGTACGGACCAGGAACCATCCCAGGACAAACCGGATCCCCCGGACCTCT